CGAGACGCAGGCTCACGACGCCCTGTAAGACCACCAGATTGCTCAGTGTAAGCAGTAGGAGCAGGCAGAGGAGAGGCCGGCTGTAACGGCGGCTGCGACTGGTCAGGCAGGGGACACTGGAGGGGAGGATTAAGGGCAGCAGAAGGCGGGGTACCAAGAACCTGCTGGAGCAGGGGAACGAAGTACGGTCGTGGCCACACAGTGCCACCAGGGGCAACAGCTCTAGCCCCTCCAGCTCCAGCACCTCCAACACCAGGGCCTCCAACTCCAGCGCCTCCTGCGCCAGGGCCATCAACTCCAGCTCCTCCAGCTCCAGCGCCACCAGCACCAGGAGTACCAGACACCGAAAGGTCTCCAGCTCCAGCACCCTCAACACCACCAGTCCAGGCAGCTCCAGTACCTCGGGTACGAGCACCTCCAGGACCAGTGGTCGCAGTACCTCCAGTAACACCAGCTCCAGCAGCAACTCCAGGACCTCCAGCTCCAGCAGCGCCAGCACCTCCAGCTCCAGAAGCTCCACTCCGAAGGCGCGTACGCCGAACAAACCATTAACGCAACTGCTGCGGAGACAGTCTCGGCGAAACATCAGCAGAAACTCCAGACGAAGCAGCACCCTGAGGCTCCGCACCTCCAGACTCCGCACCCTCCGAACCAGCACCCCCAGGCTCAACACCCTCAGGCTCAGCACCCTCAGGCTCACCACCCCAAGGCGCAACACCCCCAGGCTCAGCACCCCCAGGCGCAACACCCCCAGGCTCAACACCCCCAGTCTCAGAACCCCCAGTCTCAACACCCCCAGGCTCAGCACCCCCAGTCTCAGCACCCCCAGACTCCGCACCCCCAGGCTCCGCACCCCCAGACGCAGCATCTCGAGCAGCACCTGAGTCGACAGCTACCTGAACAGGCGTAGGACCAAGGAGAGGGTCTACCTGAGACACACCTAAGGGAGCAGGACCCTGAGGGGGGAGGGGGTCTACCGGAGGGGGACCGGGAGCAAGGAAGAGCGGCGGGGGCGGGAGAGGGGCAGAGCGGCAGGGGAAGAGGCGGTAAAAGGGAACCGACTCGTCAAACGTGACGTCCTGAGAAGGGAAGACACGGCGCGAGGTGGGGTGGTAAAACTGCCAGCCAGGCGCGTCGGGGACAAAGCCAAGGAAGACACAGGGGATAGCACGGGGGGAGAGCTTGTCCGCTGACGTATCACGAACAAAGGCACGAGATCCCCACACCCGGAACACCGACGCATCGCCAACCTCCCCCGTCCAACGCAGTGTGGGCGAGGTCTCCGGCAAGGAGACACGGGGCCAGAGGTTGAGCTGATGCGCATCGTACCGGACCGCAAACGGCCACAGAAAATGGGGAGCGGCCGCATGGATCATGAAGGTACGAGCGACCTCCATGACTAAGCCAATACGGCGCTCAGCAATGCCATTTTGCTGAGGGGAGTCCGGAAGCGTGAACGACTGGAGAATGCCCTTCCCAGGACAAAAGTCCCGCAAGAGGTTGGAGGAGAACTCACCACCTCTGTTAGAGTGCAGACGCAGGACAGGAAGGTCCTGGCCGAACCGCTCGCAGAGCTGGAGACGGACCGTGCGGATCCAAGGGATCAAGATATCAACGACCTGACCCTTGCTGCGCAAGGGGAAGATTGTGGTATACCGCGTGTAGTCGTCAACTACCAGCAGAAAGTAGCGCTCGCGGCTCTGTCCACTGACGCGGGCTGGGCCCCACACGTCCATGTGGAGAGTCTGCAGGGAAGCAGTCATTGGGGGAAACGAGGAGGAGTGAGGGGCGGTGCGCTGCCGCCCCTCGACGCAAGGGAGGCAGGGCGGGGCAGGCGAGGGCGGCAGGGGAGGCAGAGACATGGGTAGACCAGAGACAAGAAGACGAGAGTGCATGCGACGAAGGTGAGGCAGGGAGGGGTGACCCAGGCGGTGGTGCCACAGAAGAGTCCGGTGCGACAGGAGGCGACACGAGCAAGAGGCGGCTACCTGACCTGATGCGGACACCTCAGCAGACGCAGCTACCTGAGAAGGCTCGGTAGTGAGTGTGTACAGACTCGACCCTGGCCGACGAGTGAACATGGCCAGGTGGCGGCCCGTCCGTGTGCACGTGCAGATCGACACACGCTGACCGCAGGAGCGGTGGTAGTGACCATCGCATCCTGGAGGGCAGCGGTACTCACCAAGTTCGTAGAGAACGAGGGGAGGTGAAGACCTGACAGTGAGCCGGACGGAACCGCCGGACACGGGAGGACAGTGGAGGAACGGGCCACGACCGGTCCCCCGGAGGGGTCAGCCAGTTTGACCGGGTCAGGTGCAGGAAGAGGAGTGAGGGTGGTGGTGTCACGAAAGAAACAGCGCGAGGCGCCTGAGTCCAACGTGAAGGTGTGCAAGGCCTCAGCAGGCGCAGTACCAGGGAGAGTACCAGACTCACTAGCACCTAGAGCAGCAGCGGCAATACCAGGGTCAGGCGGTACACATCGGTAACAGTCACCCTCAGCACTAACAGACAAAGCATACATAGCAGAGAGAATAGCATCAAAGTCTAGGTCAAAGATAGCAATCCTAGACTTAAGCAGATCTGCCCAGCGAGGGAGCTCGACGTCGTCACCAAACTCAGCACGCCAAGCGTCGTCGAGGCGGGAGAAGCAGTGGTGCTGAGTGTGGAGCCTCCCGCAAGTCTGACCAGCACGGTCACCCATGCGAATGACATACGGGCAACTACCCCCAGACGCCCCACGCAGAAACCACTCACGAAGCTGCTGGGGAGACGGGGTCTCGCCCCGACGCTGCTGCTGCTGACGCTGGCCACCCTCAGAACCGACACGCCGAGCTCCAGTCCCACCGCCACCAGTCCCACCGCCTCCACTGCCGCCACTCCCACCGCTGCCTCCACCACCGCCACCAGAGCCCCCACTCCCACCAAGAGTCCCACCGCCACCACCACCTTCTCTGCTGCCCCCACCACCACTCCCGCTGCCACCTCCACCACCGCCGCTGCCACCACCGCCACCTCGGCCACCCTTGCCCTTGCTGCCGTGGCGCTTCGCAATAGCAGAAGCAGCCCCGACGTCCTCAGGAACAGAGACGTCTGCAGCAGCAGCAGAGGCGTAGGAGGGGGCAAGGGGGGAGGGGGAACACCCCTCAAAGAAGGGCGGGCGCGGAGTGCCACGAGCAGCACCTACAGCAACTGCACTAGTCTCAGCTTCGAGGAGATGCTGCTCGAGGAGGTCAACAGTGAGGGAGGTGGGGTCAAGAGAGAGGAAGTGGTCTCTGACAGAGCGAAGAGAGTCAGGGAGGCGGGTGACTATAAAGTAGAGAGTGATGTACATCGGGGGCGGGTTCCTGTCAAGGAACTCAGCAGGAACGGCAGCGCTGTAGCGAGCGTCACTAGCGCGAAGGTGGGGAACTAGGTCCTCGACTGTGGCAAAGGCGGACAGCTCGGGGAACAGGTAGGGCAGAAGGAGGCGGCCTAGAGCAGCATTGGCAGGGGAGGAGTAGCGGGCGACTACAACATCGTACAGTGCCTGTGATGTCCTGTGCTGTCCGAAGTGAGCGCATTCAGCTAATGGCAGGTGGTTGCGAATGGCTAAGCGGGCAGCAGCGTCACGAGTAAGCCACTGTGAGCGAGTCGAACTGTCAGCTGTTGGCGGGAGGGGAAGTAGCAGCGCCTGACGCTAGGTCAAACAGCGAGACACTGTCCTTAGAATCGCTCAGTAGGTACAGCTGCAGGTCGTCTAGCCACGTGTCAAACTGAACCGGTCTGCCCTCATGATCAAACGCGAGAACCCGAAGTGAAGCCATAGCTGTGCAGCACACAGGATAGCAGTAGCAGCAGCAGTAGCAGCTGTAGCAGTAGCAGCAATGACGGGGCCGGGCGCGGGCTAGGGACGGGGCCGGGCGCTGGGCAGGTACGGGGCCGGGCGCGGGCTAGGGTGGCGGCCGTGCTTGGGCTAGGGACGGGGCCGGGCGCTGGGGTCGACGGGCCGCGGGCTAGGTACGGGGCCGGGCGCGGGGCTAAGGGGCCGTGCGCGGGGCTAGGGACGGGGCCGGGCGCTGGTACGGGGCCGGGCTAGGTACGGGGCCGTGCGCGGGGCTAGGGACGGGGCCGGGCGCTGGGGTCAACGGGCCGCGGGCTAGGTACAGGGCCGGGCGCGGGCTAGGTACGGGGCCAGGCGCAGGCTAGGTACGGGGCCGGGCGCGGGCTAGGTACGAGGTCGGGCGCGGGGCTAAGGGCCGACGGGGCCGGGCGTGGGCTAGGGACGGGGCCGGGCGCTGGGGTCGACGGGCCGCGTAGGCTAGGAGCGACGGGCCTAAGGGGAGGGTACTAGCAGCGTAGCAGGTGGTGGGCCCAAGGAACCTGCTCTGATTCCATATCAAAATAACGAACGAGAATGAATGAACTAGCAATCAGTTGGGTACAAGTACTAACCCTAATTGGGTTGTACCCCTTATGGGCTACCCCACTACAGCCTACACAAATGTATAAGCTATAATGTTCTGAATGATTATGTACCGGAATGATTGGTTTGGATATATGCTTGGAAGTAGCAAAATCGTTACTGATATCGAAAAGCAGAGCTGATCATATGGACAAGGATGCGCGGTCTTGACCGAGCAGAGAGCAGAGAGCAAAGAACAGCAGCAAGAGGGCAGAGAGAGGAGGCAGGAGAGAAGGGAGAAGAGAGAAGAGAGAAGAGAGAAGAGAGAAAAGAGAAGGGAGAGGAGAGAAGAGAGAAGTGAGAAGATAGAAGAGAGGAGACAGCAAATGGGACAGAGTGGACCTGGAAGCCAACAAAGACACAGCGGTACGCTATGGCTTTGTCCCCGGATGCCCGAAACGCAACTGCAGCCTCCATGTTAGGCGATGCAGAGTTCTCAAAGCGAATACCTATTGTCACAAAGTTGTTGCCCGCCGCAGCTGACACCAGGCAAAAGAGGAAAGAAAGAGGGGTGAGAAGCGAACAGAAAAAGCAAGTGCAGTTGCGCGGTACATAGGTATTAGCTGGGATGGCTCAAGGGCAGTGATACCTTGAAAGCAAGAAGACAACTGAGAGGGGCGTGAGGGATAGAGAAGAGGGGATAGAGAAGAGGGGATAGAGAAGGGGGGAGCGTGCGGGAAGCTGAGAGGTGCGGGAAGCTGAGAGGTGCGGGAAGCTGAGAGGTGCGGGAAGCTGAGAGGTGCGGGAAGCTGAGAGTTGCGGGAAGAGGATCTGAGAGGAAGGAGAGGGGAGTGGTGTAAGTGCGCGGTAGCATGCAGAGCGACTGACCAAAGGAGGGGGTATCCCATGTATCGAAGCCAGCGCCGTTGCTGTGGTTCCCTGTGATGACCGTCTGCCATGCACCGCTGCCTAGCAGCACCACGTTCACTCGCTCCACCTCCACGTTGCCCACATACCGCCCCGGCTTCACCAGCACTATGTACCATGCCTTGCCCTCCTCGTTGTTGATTATCTCCACTGCATCCTGGCGGTGCCGTCATGGGAGGGAGCGTGCGGGGTGAGAGAGGAAAGGGTATCGGAGCAGGTGCGTACACAATGGTGCTGCTCTAGGTTGTGCAAGTGTTGGAACTTGGACTGCTGTGTGAGAGAGAGCAGGCCCATTCTAATGGTATTCCAAGTCAGAATGGTATTGTTGGAGAATGTGGAATAAGAGAAACCACCAAGCGTATTACACAGAGGTGGAGGCTTCTCAACGCAACTGGTGGTAGCTCAATCAGACGGCATGAAATCTCCAGAACAGGTTACAGAGAACAAAGGTTAGAGCTTTCTTTTTGCCTTTCGTAAAATATACTAGTCTAGTATCATTCGAACGATTTGGAAGCGATTTTGGTAACACGCTGATTTCATCTTGAAAAAAAGGTGTATAACTCGGATTCTGTGCAGTTTTTGGCTGCGTTGACTAGACAACCAGGTCGTTACCCTTTATTCCAGAGACTTTGGGCCAGGATCCCAAGCTTCAAACAGTCAGTGGCTTGTAATTGATGAGATTTTGACGTATTTTCTTTCATTTACGTCCAAAGCTGCTATGTCAAGGCTTTTCCTTGTTTTCCTTCCGTTTCTAGACCCCCCATATCTACCAACAAGTAGTACGTGCCAGCTGGAGTACATGTCAGCATGCTAGTGCATGTCAGCTTCGTCATTGGTACATGTCAGCATGCAAAAGAGTAAATTATGTGGACAAATGACCTTGGGCATTAGTCACCCCTGAGAAGATTTGAACAAGAATGAATGAACTATGAATGAAGTGAGTACATATAGGAAACCCTAATTGGGTTGTACCCCCTATGGGATACCCCACTATAGCCTACACAACAGCATAAGCTATATATATGTTCTGACACACCCCCATAGGCAAAGTGGGGGAGAACAAGGGGTCACAAGACCAGTCACGCAAAGCACAGCAAGCTCAGGGTGGATCACAAAGTCACCACACAGTCCGAGCACAACGACAAGGCCACAGGGCCAGTTCACATGCAGGAGTGCACATATATATATAGAGCTAGACAAGAAAGAGCAGGTATATATATGTGACAGTACAAGCAAGGTCAAGAGGAGAGCAAGTGAGGCAAGACAGGTACAAGACCCAGCTGAGTGCAGAAGCGCTGATGGTCACAAGGCGCAAGTGCCTTGGTGAACACATCAGCAGTGTTGGCCTCAGAGGCCACGTACGCAAGTCGCAACTGACCACGCTGCTGCAGCTCACGAGCAAGAAAGTAACGGAGAGCAATGTGCTTCGTTCTGTGCTCCAAGCGCTGCTCTCGACACAAGGCCAGCATGGCCTTGTTATCTACGTACAGCACTGGAGGAGAACGAGGCGGCTCTCCAAGGTCAGTCAGCAGGTAGGTGAGCCAGCGAAGCTCCTGTGCAGCCATGGCCCCGGCGTAGATCTCAGCCTCACAACTGGAGCCGAGAATAGAGGACGAGCGAGTAGCCCGCCACGAGACAGAGCCGGAACCAAGACTGAAGGTGTAACCCTGCGACGACCGCTGCGTAGCCTGGTCGTCAGCCCAAGAAGCGTCCGCGTGCCCAGTGAGGACCACTGGACTCCGCCCTCCAAGCACTAGCCCCATGCCCGACGTACTGCACAAGTAGCGCAACACCCTCTTCGCTGCAGCCATGTGCTCTGGTCGGTGTCTCCCAGGAGCAACATAGCGTGCAAGAATGCTAAGAGGGTATGCAAGGTCAGGTCGTGTGCAGGTCATCAGGTACATGAGGCAGCCAACAAGCTCTGGGTACGGGCCACTCGACTCTACGGACTCATCCGAAGGCAGAGCTGAGAGCGAGTGGCGAGTAGACAGAGGAGTGGCCTGAGGCGAGGAGTACGTGAAGCCGAAGCGCTGAAGGACCTGCTGCACCATGTGTGACTGAGTCAAGGTAATGGTGCGGCGTGCTCTGTCCCGAGTGATCTGCAAGCCAAGGTAGCTGCGCAGTTCACCCAGGTCTGTGCACGTGTGTCTCTTCTGCAGCTCGGACTTCACGTGGGCGAGTCCAGCAGTGTCAGCTGTGGCAAAGACCAAGTCGTCGACGTACACGAGGATGTAGAACGGCGGCAAAGAAGTGTCGGTGCGCAGAAACAACGACGGGTCAGCCGTAGAGGGAGCAAACCCAAGAGCCGCAAGCGTAGTCCTCAGTGTGTCGTGCCACTCACGCGGTGCCTGGCGGAGACCGTAGACTGGCCGTCGGAGGCTCCACTGGGTGCCAGTAGGGAAAGTCCCAGTGAAGCCAGGTGGACGGCGCAGCCAGATCTCCTCGTGCAGGCTACCCTGCAAGAAAGCAGTGCTGAAGTCAAGAGAGTGGAGCTCGTAGTCACGCTGAGCGGCTATGTGCAGCAGCACCCGAAGAGTGGTCATCTTCGGGGTGGGAGAGAAGGTCTGAAAGTAGTCAACTCCCTGCCGCTGACTGAAGCCACGAGCGACGTACCGCGCCTTGAAGACAGGTGGAGAGCCCGGCGGCCGCTTCACCCTGAAGATCCACATGCCACTGACGATGTTCGCCCCAGGAGGGGGAACCGCGTCAACGTAGGTGCCTGTGGACTTCCAGGACGCCATCTCTGCATCCATAGCTGCCTGCCACTGAGAGGAGTAGGGACCCTCTACGGCCTCCGCGTAAGAGCGCGGAGTCGGGATGTCTAGTGCATCCGGGTCTCCCTCAGGGGCAAGTAGTACGGACGCGAGATGAGGTGAAGCAGCAGCCAGACACTGGAACTCCTCCTGCCTGTCCTCAAGGACGTCCGTGCCAAGAGCACACTCACCCCCGACGGACGGAGGACAGACAGACGCAGACTCAGCAACAAGACCGGCAGCGTAGTCTAGACGACAGCTAGCAGCAAAGTCGACGAGCTCAGCAACAAGAGCAGACGCAGCAGTGGACTCAAAAGAGGGGTCAGTGACGACAGTAGCAAGGAGACGTGTGACAGTAGGACTAGCAGCACGAAGAGAGTCGGACTCTGGGTCGGTAAGTGCAGGAAGGGAGGACTCAGGAGGAGAAGGCAAAGGGGCACGCAGAGGAGCAGTGGACGGACGCAAAGACATCCGGTGCGTGCCAGGGACAGGAGGAGGACGCTGACGCGAACCGCGACCACTAGCGCGAGCAGCACGAACAGGCGACGCAGGACGAGACGCAGGCTCACGACGCTCAGCAAGACCTCCAGTGGGACCAGTGTAAGGAGAGGGAGCAGGAAGTGGGGAGGCGGGCTCTAACTGGGACTGTGACTGAACAGGCTGTGGACACGCTGCAGGAGGAGAAAGACCAAGAACCTGCTGTAGGAGTGGAACGAAGTACGGCCGAGGCCGCGCGGCGACTCCAGACACAGCAGGGACAGCACCCTCAGCAGCAGCACCAGCGCCAACAGCACCTCCAGCTCCAGGACCTCCAGCAGCACCAGCAGTACCCGCAGCAGGACCACCGCCAGGAAGGACAGCAGCAGTCTCAGCACCAACACCCGCGGCAGCTCCAGCTCCAGGCGGACCCGAGGGCCCAGCAGCTCCGGGACCAGCGGCACAAGTACCCTCAGCAGCCGAAGGAGCTCCAGCTCCAGCAGTACGTCTCCAGCGGCGAGCAAACCACTCGTGCAGCTCCTGTGGAGAGAGGGGCTCCCGCCGAGGCGAAGCACCCGGAGAACCGCCAGGTCCCGCACCGCCAGACGCCACAAGGGGAGGTCCAGTGGCCGCAGGCTCTGCAGCTCCAGGCTCAGTAGCTCCAGACGCAGCACCCCCTGGCTCAGCACCCCCAGTCACAGCACCCCCAGGCTCAGCACCCCCAGTCGCAGTACCCCCAGGCTCAGCACCCCCAGACTCAGCACCCCCAGGCTCAGCACCCCCAGGCTCAGCACCCACGCGCGTAGCACCCCCAGAGTCAGCACCCCCAGGCTCAGCACCCGCAGCAGGACCAGAGTCACCAGCAACCTCGACCGGCTCGACTGCGTCTACCTGGGACACACCTGAAGGGGCAGGACCCTGAGGGGGAAGGGGGTCTACCGGGGGGGGACCTGGCACAAGGAAGTGCGGTGGCGGGGGGAGGGAAGGAGTGCGGTAGGGGAAGAGGCGGTAGAAGGGGACTGACTCGTCGAACGTGACATCCTGGGAGGACAGAACACGACGAGAGGAGGGGTGGTAGAACTGCCACCCTGGGGCGTCAGGGGGGAAGCCGAGGAAGACACAGGGAGCAGCACGAGGGGACAGCTTGTCCGCAGACAAGTCGCGGACAAACGCCCGAGATCCCCAGACACGGAACGCAGACGCATCGCCAACCTTCCCTGTCCACAGCAGAGCTGGGGAGGTCTCCGGCCGGGAGACCCTGGGGTGAAGGTTGATCTGATGCGCCGCGTACCGAACCGCAAACGGCCACAGAAAATGGGGGGCAGCCGCATGCATCATGGACGTACGAGCGACGTCCATGACCATGCCAATGCGGCGCTCAGCAATCCCATTTTGCTGTGGAGAGTCCGGAAGCGTAAAGGTCTGGCGGATGCCTCGTGCACGACAGTAGGCTCGCAGAAGGCCAGAGGAGAACTCTCCACCTCGGTCAGAGTGCAGACGCAGAACAGGAAAGTCCGAGCCGAAGCTCCTCCTGAGCTGGAGACGAGCTGCGCGGATCCAGTCGATCAACACCTCAGTGACATCACCCTTGCTGCGCAAGGGGAAGACTGTGGTGTAACGCGAGTAGTCGTCAACCACCAGCAGGAAGTAGCGCTCGTGACCCTGCCCACGGACGCGGGCCGGGCCCCACACGTCCATGTGAAGCGTCTGCAGAGGAGCCTCTGTCGGAGGAAACTGGGAGGAGTGAGGGGCAGCCCGGAGCCGCCCCTCGACACAGGGGACACAGGAAGGTCCGGGTCCCGAAGGAAGGGGAGGGAGAGACCGGGGAAGACCAGAGACAAGGACACGGGAAGCCATGCCCCGAAGACGAGGCAAGGAGGGGTGGCCAAGACGGTGGTGCCACAGGAGAGTCTCCTGAGACAGGCGGCGACACGAGCAGGGAGCAGACTCAGGACCAGACCTGGACGCAGCAGCAAACACCTGACCCGACGCAGCTACCTGGCCAGACGCAGGGACAGGAGGAGACTCAGTGGTCAGGGTGTAGAGACTCGACCCCGGCCGACG